CTGGAAAAACATGCCGATGATGGCCATCATCGCCAGTCGTCCATTCGCCAACTCGGCCGCTAGCTTCGTCTTCTTCGCCTCCGGGTCGGACGCGGTGAGCACCTTGAATCCGAAGTCGCCCGCCGCAGCAGGAGTTCCCGCCGACTGGTCCTGGGACACCTCGCAGAAGGCCATGTAAGCCAAGATCTGACCCCACCCAGCAGCAGGAACTTTGGAAATCGCAGCCAGGCCGTTGGGCACGTCGGCGAACTTCAGGCCAGCCGAGGGAGAAAGGTACCCAGGGAATTTGCCAGTGATCTCAGGGGTAATGTAACCCATGGTTGCCTTGGTCAATGTTCTAACACAAACATACTTGGTAGAATAATAATCATATCTTCGGATACCATTATCTTAGTAGAAGGCAAAGATTTAAGGTCGTGCCAAACGTGGACCAAGCATCGAGCATGGAAATTCGGCCATGTTTCAACTCCGTCTGGCGTCTGCGCGCAAAGTTCTCGGTGCTGCCATCTGCCGCAAATCCGGCGGGATCCCAGAATCCCACAGGAGCCTGCAGCAAAACTCTTGCAATCTGAAAATGTTCAAGGGCGTGCAAGTATCAATACACTTCTTTGGCTCTTCGCAACGTGTGATGAAATCGTCTGAAAGTCATGCCAGGCCTTGACGTCTGCTTATCAACCCATGCTACGATACAATGGGATACCTGCATGCAACCAATGCACTACTTGCATGACTATATAAAATGCAAACATGGAATGACTGCGTCTGACTATCTCCAGTGGGCTAGGCATTGTGTCAACTCATGTTACCCATGAGCAACCCTTAAACTTAAACATGCAACATCTTGAACACTACGCCTCGCAGCATGTACATTTTGTTGCCAGCTATGAACAAGGTCATGAACAACAATGCTACTGCAAGGGTTGACGGCCATGCTTGTCAAGTACATAGCGTGTATCGTCCTTATTCGTCTTCCCTATACTGATAAACCAGGCGAGGTGAATCAACTGTCCTCAAACGCAACTCAAAAGCAAGAACATATTGAAGTGTACATGTATATACTATGTATAATATATATATATATGTGTATTTGCACTACTGCTGATGATGTTCAATGGCTATAGTGATCAAACCGCTAGGCAACCGTTGAGAATACATCCTCAGCAGTCACAATCACGCAGAGATGTTCGATATCCAAAAGTCACTTGGCGCCTGCACCCCAAGCTCATTCTCGAAGGCGCGCAGCGGCGAGGCGGTGTAGTTGGCCCAGTCACCCCAGGCGCTTCCTGTCAGGCCGTCTTGAAAGAACATGCCGATGATGGCCATCATCGCCAGTCTTCCGTTCGCCAACTCGGCCGCTAGCTTCGTCTTCTTGGCCTCCGGGTCGGACGCGGTGAGCACCTTGAATCCGAAGTCGCCCGCCGCAGCAGGAGTTCCAGCCGACTGGTCCTGGGACACCTCGCAGAAGGCCATGTAAGCCAAGATCTGACCCCACCCAGCAGCAGGAACTTTGGAAATCGCAGCCAGGCCGTTGGGCACGTCGGCGAACTTCAGGCCAGCCGAAGGAGAAAGGTACCCAGGGAATTTGCCAGTGATCTCAGGGGTAATGTAGCCCATGGTTGCCTTGGTCAATGTTCTAACACAAACATACTTGGTAGAATAATAATCATATCTTCGGATACCATTATCTTAGTAGAAGGCAAAGATTTAAGGTCGTGCCAAACGTGGACCAAGCATCGAGCATGGAAATTCGGCCATGTTTCAACTCCGTCTGGCGTCTGCGCGCAAAGTTCTCGGTGCTGCCATCTGCCGCAAATCCGGCGGGATCCCAGAATCCCACAGGAGCCTGCAGCAAAACTCTTGCAATCTGAAATGTTCAAGGGCGTGCAAGTATCAATACACTTCTTTGGCTCTTCGCAACGTGTGATGAAATCGTCTGAAAGTCATGCCAGGCCTTGACGTCTGCTTATCAACCCATGCTACGATACAATGGGATACCTGCATGCAACCAATGCACTACTTGCATGACTATATAAAATGCAAACATGGAATGACTGCGTCTGACTATCTCCAGTGGGCTAGGCATTGTGTCAACTCATGTTACCCATGAGCAACCCTTAAACTTAAACATGCAACATCTTGAACACTACGCCTCGCAGCATGTACATTTTGTTGCCAGCTATGAACAAGGTCATGAACAACAATGCTACTGCAAGGGTTGACGGCCATGCTTGTCAAGTACATAGCGTGTATCGTCCTTATTCGTCTTCCCTATACTGATAAACCAGGCGAGGTGAATCAACTGTCCTCAAACGCAACTCAAAAGCAAGAACATATTGAAGTGTACATGTATATACTATGTATAATATATATATATATGTGTATTTGCACTACTGCTGATGATGTTCAATGGCTATAGTGATCAAACCGCTAGGCAACCGTTGAGAATACATCCTCAGCAGTCACAATCACGCAGAGATGTTCGATATCCAAAAGTCACTTGGCGCCTGCACCCCAAGCTCATTCTCGAAGGCGCGCAGCGGCGAGGCGGTGTAGTTGGCCCAGTCACCCCAGGCGCTTCCTGTCAGGCCGTCTTGAAAGAACATGCCGATGATGGCCATCATCGCCAGTCTTCCGTTCGCCAACTCGGCCGCTAGCTTCGTCTTCTTCGCCTCCGGGTCAGAGGCAGTCAGCACCTTGAATCCGAAGTCGCCCGCCGCAGCAGGAGTTCCCGCCGACTGGTCCTGGGACACCTCGCAGAAGGCCATGTAAGCCAAGATCTGACCCCACCCAGCAGCAGGAACTTTGGAAATCGCAGCCAGGCCATTGGGCACGTCGGCGAACTTCAGGCCAGCGGAAGGGCTCAGATAGCCCGGGAATTTTCCGGTGATCTCCGGGGTAATATATCCCATTGTAGCCTTGGTCAATGTTCAAACCCAAAGCTGGATATTACCTGTCAACATGTTTGGACGCCATCATATAGTACAAGGCAAAAAGATGCAAGATACTACTGAACCTCGATCAAGCGGCAAGCATGGAAATGCGACCATGCTTCAGCTCCGTCTGGCGACGTCGGGCGAAGTTCTCAGTGCTGCCATCGGCCGTGAACCCTGCCGGGTCCCAGAACCCCACCGGTGCTTGCACTCCAAGCTCGTTTTCGAAGGCACGCAAAGGCGAAGCGGTGTAGTTGGCCCAGTCACCCCAAGCGCTGCCGGTGAGACCATCCTGCATGATGGACAAGAACCGGTTCATGCAAGAAATGCCGAAAAACAAGCAAGAAATGCAAGCAAACCAACAGATTCTCTGCCAAGATAACACACCCGGATGTGATCAAACCAGCAAGCAAACCAAGGACCGAACAACTCAATCACAGACAAGTAGCAAGCAAGCAAGCAAGCAAGCAAACAAACAAACAAACAAACAGACAACCAAACAAACAAACAAACAAACAAACAAACAAACAAACAAGCAAACAAAAAAGAAAAACAGACACACAAGCAAACGAACAAGCAAACAAACAAACAAACAAGCACGTAAACAAACAAACACGCGAACAAGCATGCTTGCACGCATGGGTACAAGCAAGCAAGCCAGCCAGCCAGCCAGCCAGCCAGCCAGCCAGCAAGCAAGCAAGCAAGCAAGCAAGCAAGCAAGCAAGCAAGCAAGCAAGCAAGCAAGCAAGCAAGCAAGCAAGCAAGCAAGCAGCAAGGCAAGGCAAAGAAAAGCAAAGCCAAGCCAAGCCAAGCCAAGCAAAGCTAAGCAAAGCAAAGCAAAGCAAGGCAAGCAAACAAACAAAGCAACGCAAGCAAACAAGCGAACACATGATAATGCAAACAAACAGGCAAAGAGACCAGAAAACAAAGCACAATCAAACAAAGCAGACAAAACAAGCAAAGCCAATAAACCAAACAAACCCGGCCAGCAATCATCACAGCAACAACACAAGCAAACAAGCAAGCCAACAAGCACGCAAGCATGCACTCAAACAAACGAACAACGACAGCAGACAAACAAACAAACAAACGAACAAACAAACAAACTAACTAACTACGGAAAAATAGCAAACAAACAAACAAACTAACTAAATACCAAACTAACTAACTAAGTAACTAACTAAGTAACTAACAAGCATACATACATGCAAACAAAGCGAAACAATATATAATAAAGTAAAACCAGCAAAACAATCACAAACCCACAAAAACTAGTCTGCACCAGTGTGAATGCTGTTGTTGTTGCTAAGCACACTGGTTCATGCGCGAATGCAAAAAAGAGAGAGAAACAAACAATGCCAAACGCACAGTGGCTTGCGTAAACATGTCTGCCAAATGTCAGACTTTGCATGTCTCTCCAACTCTCTGTCATCACTCAACAGCCTGGAAAAACATGCCGATGATGGCCATCATCGCCAGTCTTCCGTTCGCCAACTCGGCCGCTAGCTTCGTCTTCTTCGCCTCCGGGTCAGAGGCAGTCAGCACCTTGAATCCGAAGTCGCCCGCCGCAGCAGGAGTTCCCGCCGACTGGTCCTGGGACACCTCGCAGAAGGCCATGTAAGCCAAGATCTGACCCCACCCAGCAGCAGGAACTTTGGAAATCGCAGCCAGGCCATTGGGCACGTCGGCGAACTTCAGGCCAGCGGAAGGGCTCAGATAGCCCGGGAATTTTCCGGTGATCTCCGGGGTAATATATCCCATTGTAGCCTTGGTCAATGTTCAAACCCAAAGCTGGATATTACCTGTCAACATGTTTGGACGCCATCATATTAGTACAAGGCAAAAAGATGCAAGATACTACTGAACCTCGATCAAGCGGCAAGCATGGAAATGCGACCATGCTTCAGCTCCGTCTGGCGACGTCGGGCGAAGTTCTCAGTGCTGCCATCGGCCGTGAACCCTGCCGGGTCCCAGAACCCCACCGGTGCTTGCACTCCAAGCTCGTTTTCGAAGGCACGTAAAGGCGAAGCGGTGTAGTTGGACCAGTCACCCCAAGCGCTGCCGGTGAGACCATCCTGCATGATGGACAAGAACCGGTTCATGCAAGAAATGCCGAAAAACAAGCAAGAAATGAAAGCAAACCAACAGATTCTCTGCCAAGATAACACACCCGGATGTGATCAAACCAGCAAGCAAACCAAGGACCGAACAACTCAATCACAGACAAGTAGCAAGCAAGCAAACAAGCAAACAAACAAACAGACAACCAAACAAACAAACAAACAAACAAACAAGCAAACAAATAAATAAACAAACAGACACACAAGCAAACAAACAAGCAAACAAATAAACAAGCACGTAAAAACACAAACACGCGAACAAGCATGCTTGCACGCATGGGTACAAGCAAGCAAGCAAGCAAGCAAGCAAGCAAGCAAGCAAGCAAGCAAGCAAGCAAGCAAGCAAGCAAGCAAGCAAGCAAGCAAGCAAGCAAGCAAGCAAGCAAGCAAGCAAGCAAGCAAGCAAGCAAGCAAGCAAGCAAGCAAGCAAAAAAGCAAGCAAGCAAGCAGCAAGGCAGGGCAAAGAAAAGCAAAGCCAAGCCAAGCCAAGCCAAGCCAAGCAAAGCAAAGCAAAGCAAAGCAAAGCAAAGCAAGCAAGCAAGCAAACAAAGCAACGCAAGCAAACAAGCGAACACATGATAATGCAAACAAACAGGCAAAGAGACCAGAAAACAAAGCAACAATCAAACAAAGCAGACAAAACAAGCAAAGCCAATAAACCAAACAAACCCGGCCAGCAATCATCACAGCAACAACACAAGCAAACAAGCAAGCCAACAAGCACGCAAGCATGCATTCAAACACACGAACAACGACAGCAGACAAACAAACAAACAAACAAACAAACTAACTAACTAACTAACTACAGAAGAAAAAAAAACAAACAAACTAACTAACTAACAAGCATACATACACACAAACAAAGAGAAACAATATAGAATAAAGTAAAACCAGCAAAACAATCACAAACCCACAAAAACTAGTCTGCACCAGTGTGAATGCTGTTGTTGTTGCTAGGCACACTGGTTCATGCGCGAATGCAAAAAAGAGAGAGAAACAAACAATGCCAAACGCACAGTGGCTTGCGTAAACATGTCTGCCAAATGTCAGACTTTGCATGTCTCTCCAACTCTCTGTCATCACTCAACAGCCTGGAAAAACATGCCGATGATGGCCATCATCGCCAGTCGTCCATTCGCCAACTCGGCCGCTAGCTTCGTCTTCTTCGCCTCCGGGTCGGACGCAGTGAGCACCTTGAATCCGAAGTCACCCGCCGCAGCAGGAGTTCCCGCCGACTGGTCCTGGGACACCTCGCAGAAGGCCATGTAAGCCAAGATCTGACCCCACCCAGCAGCAGGAACTTTGGAAATCGCAGCCAGGCCATTGGGCACGTCGGCGAACTTCAGGCCAGCGGAAGGGCTCAGATAGCCCGGGAATTTTCCGGTGATCTGCGGGGTAATATATCCCATTGTAGCCTTGGTCAATGTTCAAACCCAAAGCTGGATATTACCTGTCAACATGTTTGGACGCCATCATATTAGTGCAAGGCAAAAAGATGCAAGATACTACTGAACCTCGATCAAGCGGCAAGCATGGAAATGCGACCATGCTTCAGCTCCGTCTGGCGACGTCGGGCGAAGTTCTCAGTGCTGCCATCGGCCGTGAACCCTGCCGGGTCCCAGAACCCCACCGGTGCTTGCACTCCAAGCTCGTTTTCGAAGGCACGCAAAGGCGAAGCGGTGTAGTTGGCCCAGTCACCCCAAGCGCTGCCGGTGAGACCATCCTGCATGATGGACAAGAACCGGTTCATGCAAGAAATGCCGAAAAACAAGCAAGAAATGCAAGCAAACCAACAGATTCTCTGCCAAGATAACACACCCGGATGTCATCAAACCAGCAAGCAAACCAAGGACCGAACAACTCAATCACAGACAAGTAGCAAGCAAGCAAGCAAACAAAACAAACAAACAAACAAACAAACAGACAACCAAACAAACAAACAAACAAACAGACAACCAAACAAACAAACAAACAAGCAAACAAGCAAACAAACAAAAACAAACAAACAGACACACAAGCAAACGAACAAGCAAACAAACAAACAAACAAGCACGTAAACAAACAAACACGCGAACAAGCATGCTTGCACGCATGGGTACAAGCAAGCAAGCAAGCAACCAAGCAAGCAAGCAAGCAAGCAAGCAGGCAAAGCAAAGAAAAGCAAAGCAAAGCAAAGCAAAGCAAAGCAAAGCAAAGCAAAGCAAAGCAAACAAACAAAGCAAAGCAAAGCAAGCAAACAAGCGAACAAATGATAATGCAAACAAACAGGCAAAGAGACCAGAAAACAAAGCAACAATCAAACAAAGCAGACAAAACAAGCAAAGCCAATAAACCAAACAAACCCGGCCAGCAATCATCACAGCAACAACACAAGCAAACAGGCAAGCCAACAAGCACGCAAGCATGCATTCAAACACACGAACAACGACAGCAGACAAACAAACAAACAAACGAACAAACAAACAAACAAACAAACTAACTAACTAGCTAACTACGGAAAAATAGCAAACAAACAAACTAACTAACTAACAAGCATACATACATACAAACAAAGCGAAACAACATATAATAAAGTAAAACCAGCAAAACAATCACAAACCCACAAAGACTAGTCTGCACCAGTGTGAATGCTGTTGTTGTTGCTAGGCACACTGGTTCATGCGCGAATGCAAAAAAGAGAGAGAAACAAACAATGCCAAACGCACAGTGGCTTGCGTAAACATGTCTGCCAAATGTCAGACTTTGCATGTCTCTCCAACTTTCTGTCATCACTCAACAGCCTGGAAAAACATGCCGATGATGGCCATCATCGCCAGTCGTCCATTCGCCAACTCGGCCGCTAGCTTCGTCTTCTTCGCCTCCGGGTCGGACGCGGTGAGCACCTTGAATCCGAAGTCGCCCGCCGCAGCAGGAGTTCCCGCCGACTGGTCCTGGGACACCTCGCAGAAGGCCATGTAAGCCAAGATCTGACCCCACCCAGCAGCAGGAACTTTGGAAATCGCAGCCAGGCCATTGGGCACGTCGGCGAACTTCAGGCCAGCGGAAGGGCTCAGATAGCCCGGGAATTTTCCGGTGATCTCCGGGGTAATATATCCCATTGTAGCCCATTGTAGCCTCAATGTTCAAACCCAAAGCTGGATATTACCTGTCAACATGTTTGGACGCCATCATATTAGTACAAGGCAAAAAGATGCAAGATACTACTGAACCTCGATCAAGCGGCAAGCATGGAAATGCGACCATGCTTCAGCTCCGTCTGGCGACGTCGGGCGAAGTTCTCAGTGCTGCCATCGGCCGTGAACCCTGCCGGGTCCCAGAACCCCACCGGTGCTTGCACTCCAAGCTCGTTTTCGAAGGCACGCAAAGGCGAGGCGGTGTAGTTGGCCCAGTCACCCCAAGCGCTGCCGGTGAGACCATCCTGCATGATGGACAAGAACCGGTTCATGCAAGAAATGCCGAGAAATGCAAGCAAACCAACAGATTCTCTGCCAAGATAACACACCCGGATGTCATCAAACCAGCAAGCAAACCAAGGACCGAACAACTCAATCACAGACAAGTAGCAAACAAGCAAGCAAGCAAGCAAGCAAACAAACAAACAAACAAACAAACAAACAGACAACCAAACAAACAAACAAACAAACAAACAAACAAACAAACAAACAAACAAACAAACAAAAAAAAAAACAAATAAATAAACAAACAGACACACAAGCAAACTAACAAACAAGCAGATAGGTAGTCAAAGCAAGCACACAAAGAAAAACAAAACAAGCAAACAAACAAATAGACAAACAAGTAAAACGTGCAACAAAACACAAACAAACAAACAAACAAACAAACAAACAAACAAACAACAAACAAACAAAACAAACAAACAAATGAACAAACAGATCAACAAACAAACTGACCAACAAGCAAACAAACAAGCAAACAAACAAACAAGCACGTAAACAAACAAACACGCGAAGAAGCATGCTTGCACGAATGGGTACAAGCAAGCAAGCAGGCAAAGCAAAGCAAAGCAAGCAAACAAGCGAACAAACAAACAAAGCAGTTAAAGCAAACAAACGAACAAACAAATGATAATGCAAACAAACAGGCAAAGAGACCAGAAAACAAAGCAACAATCAAACAAAGCAGACAAAACAGGCAAAGCCAATCAACCAAACAAACCCGGCCAGCAATCATCACAGCAACAACACAAGCAAACACGCAAGCATGCATTGAAACACACGAACAACAACAGCAGGCAAACAAACAAACGAACAAACAAACAAACAAACAAACTAACAAACTAACAAACAAACAAACAAACTAACTAACTAAATAACTAACTAACAAGCATACATACATACAAACAAAGCGAAACAATATATAATAAAGTAAAACCAGCAAAACAATCACAAACCCACAAAGACTAGTCTGCACCAGTGTGAATGCTGTTGTTGTTGCTAGGCACACTGGTTCATGCGCGAATGCAAAAAAAGAGAGAGAAACAACACAATGCCAAACGCACAGTGGCTTGCGTAAACATGTTTACTAAATGTCAGACTTTGCAGGTCTCTCCAACTCTCTGTCATCACTCAACAGCCTGGAAAAACATGCCGATGATGGCCATCATCGCCAGTCGTCCGTTCGCCAACTCGGCCGCTAGCTTCGTCTTCTTCGCCTCCGGGTCGGACGCGGTGAGCACCTTGAATCCGAAGTCGCCCGCCGCAGCAGGAGTTCCCGCCGACTGGTCCTGGGACACTTCGCAGAAGGCCATGTAAGCCAAGATCTGACCCCACCCAGCAGCAGGAACTTTGGAAATCGCAGCCAGGCCATTGGGCACGTCGGCGAACTTCAGGCCAGCCGAAGGAGAAAGGTACCCAGGGAATTTTCCTGTGATCTCGGGGGTAATATATCCCATGGTTGCCTCGGTCAATGTTTCAAAACAAACATACTCAAACATACTTGGTTGAATATTAGTACCCATATCTTCGGATACCATTCTCTTAGTAGAAGACAAAGAGTTAAGGTCTTGCCAAACATTGACCAAGCATCGAGCATGGAAATTCGGCCATGCTTCAACTCCGTCTGGCGTCTGCGCGCAAAGTTCTCGGTGCTGCCATCCGCCGTGAATCCGGCGGGATCCCAGAATCCCACTGGCGCCTGCACGCCAAGCTCGTTCTCGAACGCGGTCAATGCCACCTCGAGATGCGAAGTTGCTTCTGAAACGGAAAAATGATTCGAGTACACCATGATTTGCCTTTGTAATTCCAGCGAGTAGCACTCGCGTTAGTATCAGATCACCTCTAAACCCCATCTTACTTTTGTGTAAATCCAGCGAGCACTTGCCTTAGTATCAGGTCACCTCTGATAAACCAGCCGCCGCTTCTTCCCCACTTTCCCTGAAAGAGAAACCCTACACTTTGGGGAGCAACGTGAAACAGACGACCCTGCGACAACCCCATGAATCTTCTCAGAATAAGCATTGTTTTGGGAAATTCATACAATAAAATGGAATCTCTGCAGACCTTGGGTCTACCAAACAGGCAGCTCAACCCATGAATGTTCTTTGTTGTACCCTTAGGCCCCTGAACAAATCGAGCAGGAAAGGAGATATCTCTTGGCTTCATGAAACGCTACCTCAAAAAAGTGGCCATCTCCCTTGAAGACCAATAGAGCAGACTGGAAGAACATCACATGGAAGGGGCTTTACAGCCCCCGAGCAACGGGGAAGCTGTGCTTTTATTTCCGGGTTACTTGGCAACCCCCAAAAAATCCGATCTTCAACCCCTACGTCTCGCATTCACCCTTTTTACCAACTTTTGTCTCTAGTCTATTTTAGTAGGGGAACCCTCCCAACCAAAAAAGAAACGGTGAGAGAGGGCACCTAGCTTGCTGGGGGACCTAGTTATTTGGGTATGGGTCAAAATGAAACCACCTGGATATGGACCGCAGGTTTTAGTCCCTGGCTCCATTTACCAGCGCTCCATTTTGGGGTCACCCCCTTTTTGACCCACAGCCATTTGAACATGCTCCGAATCACTCTCTTGGAGCCCATGCTTTGACCCACAGCCATTTCTCCATGGTTTCCCGAACCGACTCGCCCCAAAGCACACTGAGGTGCCCGCCAGCTGCCTGGAGCCGGAGCTGCCGGAGCTCCCGGCCTCAGCGACGAAGACGAGGAATCACGAGGACCAGAGGCGCGGCGGAGCGGGTGGATGATGGCTTTGACGCCCAACCAATATGATTTTCACCCGTTCTGGTAACAACCTAGACATGGGTGAAGGGGTAAAGCAGCTGATGTGCCGGGGTTTTACGTGCCGAAGCCGGCAAAAAGCGACGGAAAGCGGTAGGAGCTGACTCACTCGCAGGCACCTGAAAGGTCTTGAAGTAGTCACTCGTCACTAGTGAACATGGGCCCAAGCAAGGGACTCCATGTCGCAACACCCTGAGCGATGCTCCTTCGTTCTTGGTGAGTCCCTACGTTGCCATGGCTCCACCAGCTAAGGCTCGGAATCATCAGCGTACTCACAAGTAACATGGGAATTCGCTGAGAAACCCTGACTAGCTTGGCAGTTATTCGGCGAGTGCCCCATGTAATCATAACAAGAAATGATTCCATGGTAAACTCCTTGGTGTTCCGTGGTCGAAACTGACCTATGTGGGCCATGGTCATGGTTGATAGAAATCGTTTTGATGGAAGCCCAAGTAACCAGGTACCTGGGTGTGGGTCAACAATGTGTACCCAAAATTGCAAGCGCCCTGGTAGATGAAAGCAAGGCTAAAACCAGCGGTCCATATCCTGGTGGTTTCACTTTACCCCATTCCCATCTTCTATGGTGTCCATTGAAATGATCGCCACTTTCGGAGGTTCCCTTTAAAGGGAAATGGCTCGGAAACCCTAAAACATGAGGACCCCTGTCTCACTCATAATTGCGCTCTGCAAGCTTCCCCGCGAAAATGGCTGGCTTCCTTTTTCACCAATCACCAGGTACCTTAAAACAGCTCAACCCTGTCAGTTGCCCGGGACCAAGTTGTTTCTATTTTCAGAGGTGATCACCTTGTCGGGCCACGACAAAAGATTGAGATTGGGGAAACCCAAAGGTGAAAAGCTCGGGCTGCCGCGCCTTTCGGCTGAGGCAACTGGCCACCGCGGCACCAGCCACTGCCATGCACGCCACATTCGCCTGGCGAACTCATCCTCCATTTGCTTTTGCGTCCCCCGGAAAAAATGAGAAGATATGTCCAGTAGTGAAATCGATTCCCTTTACAACCAACAGGGAAAATGCAAAAAACAAACTGTTCTTAACCAAATGGAAGTTCTGCAGAGGAATCTGGTGCGAAATGGATCCCAATAAACTTATCAGGCACGAGGGGCTATCAGCTAGTGGGGTTGCAGGCCCCCCTTTGAAGGCTCAGATGCCTGGACGGATGTATGGATCTAGTCTGAATCTGTGGA